CTATTTTCTTAGAACAAAACCAAGTGGCAAACATATGTTTTTACTCAATCTAATATAAATAAATGTGTATGTGATAGCAATCCAATTCAAACTAGAGGAATACCGAACAGTACAAAAAACATTGCAATGTTATATGTATGCAATAGACTTGCAAGATGCCTATTTTTGGTCCCAATTAGAAAAACTTACAAAAAATAGTTAAGGTTTAAATTCAGTAATATACTTTATGAATATTCAATGTTTACCCTTCGGCCTTAGTTCAGCCCCATATATTTTTACCAAAATTATGCACAAATTAAGACCCAAAAATATTATATTGGTTATATAGCTTGATGACCTATTAATAACGAGTCAGACAAAAAGCGAATGCATTAAAAATAAAACTTTCGCTTTAGAGTTGCAAACAAATCTAGGGTTCATAATTAACAAGGAAATAGCTCAATAGCTCCTTCTGAAACATGCAAATATTTGAGATTTTGTATTTAACTCACAGAACTTGTCAATAAGCATACCGCTAGAAAAATAGAAAAACCAAACCTTTTACAGCAGCTGTTAAAAGATATTGCAAAATACGCGAATTAGCAAAAAAGACACTTTCGTTTTAGTATGCTCTGCAACAAAATATCGAAAAAAATTAAATATTTAGGTTTGAAAAGAGGGGGAGTACAATTCTTAAATCATGTTACCGGGAAACATAGTACTAGAAATTGAATGATGGATTAATAATATACAGTAAGCTCAAGTTTGCTTCAAACAACGGTGGTGCAAAATTGAAATTTTCTCAAATGCGTCCCTATCGGGGTGAGGGATTTTAAAAATAGAATAAGGTGTATCGGTGTTCTGGAATTGTTCTGAATAACATATTAATTACTTAAAACTCTTGGCAGCCTTTTATGGCCACAAGTATTTTGCAAATAAAATTGTGTAACTGCAATATTTGATCAAGAAATGAAAACACCACAGCCATATTACACATTAATAAAATGGGTGTTATAAAATTTAAATGACCTTACAAAAATGATATTGGTATTGGTGTGAAAAAAGAAACATTTTCATTTTTGCTTTTTATATCAACTCAACAGATAATAAAGAAACAAAATTGACTTATTTGCAACCATAATAAATAAAAAATGTAAATATTATGTATCCTGAATCAATAGCGGTAAAGGCATTTACTCTAAACCGGAAACAAATAAAAAAAATTATGCTTTTCCTCCTTCTATGGTTACCCCCAAATGCAAAAAAAAAAATTGTTGTATCAGATGAAACTGAAGGTATAGTGATGTTGTAGGTACCGTATTAGAAAACTCAATCATGATATCCACTTTTTAATAGAGTAGCAATATCAAAAATAACATGATTGGTACCATCAAATAAATTACTTTTGTCTCCTTTTAAGGAAATTATCCGGGAAGCACGTCAACGAAATAATACTCTAGAATCGTGCAACCCTATAATTTTAGCCTCTTGGAGTAACTACTCCAAAACAATATGGATCATCATATAAAAATAAGTGGTGGGAGTTTTTTGCTCGAAACAAAAAACTGACAAGTTTAAGACGTCGGTAAAATAATTGCTAAATTTAAAAATGAGGAAGAATCTTTAATCAAAAGATTCCTGGAAGAGGTTTTTTGAATAAAGCTAACTTATCCTAAATACACATCTACTTGGGACGAGTATAGTTCTATCTTATCTAAAAATCTTACACCCCAACGAAAATCTTTCTCTGGAAACTTTGACAAAGAAATGCTGCATATTAATTGCATTGACATCTGTTCAAAGAAAACAAATATTTTCAAAAATGAAAATATCTGACGAATATTAGAGAGAGAGAGAGAGAGAGAGAGAGAGAGAGAGAGAGAGAGAGAGAGAGAGAGAGAGAGAGAGAGAGAGAGAGAGAGAGAGAGAGAGAAAGTTGAGTTCATTATAACTGAAATGCTCAATCCTCAACTCCCAGGAAAAAACAACCACTTTTAGTCTTTAAATTTTTTAACGATGATCTGACTTTGTTCACAGCCTGCGCCTTAATACAATACCAACAGTTGACCAATCCTCTCAGACAAGGAGATAAACTAAAATATCTCCTAACAGTCAAATAACTGATACACTTCACAATCATTCGATTGCTGGAAAAAGTGGCGAAGACACATAGTTTTTAACAGGTTATATTACTCTACATGACATTGATTATACGAAAAGCTGCTAAAAATCGAGTAACTTCAATAAATTTACAACAAAGCTGTTTTTCAAAATTATGGGGATCTAGTTCTTAAGGATTACAAAAAATAACCAGTTAGATTCGCTAAATATACGTTTTTTTGTGTTTAAATTTAGCTGAATTCAATGTTAGATTTATACTCGTATAAGTGTATATAAATATATACAACGTGTGCATAGAATGTAAAAAAAAAAAAAAACTTAATTTGAAAATAATTTTTCCTCTTTAACAAAATATTTGATTTTTATCAAAAATCAATCGTGTTTCTCTAAATGATTATGATCGCTGTCGATCTCTAAACATCTACATATTATGGATATATTGGGGCCCAGCAGTGAAGTACAATTAATGGATTAAACGACTTACCTGAAAGGAAGTTCAATCCAAATTGTACGAACTGCTGGGTCGAGGTGTACACAACATTTTTGATGCTCATCAAGTTGAGCCAATATTTTTTTCACATTCTGGTTTTTAAAAAGAGGCTTAAATGCAAGAATTGTTTAATATTTTATTAATCGAATAAAATTCCATCGTTAACTAATTAAATTTGTATAACATTACTAACGATAAGTATAATAAACCTATGCCTATAAAAAGCTGCCGTAAAATAAATGCGGCCAAAAAAGTATTTTTTTTAATTTTCATAGTTTTTCTAAGAAAAAATGTATTGGGTTTGACCGAGATTCGATCGTGCGTCACGAAACACAAATTGCTTAATTTTGAGTTGTTTAACGTCCCGTTTGCAGGGGCTATAAACGAAATCCTTGTAGATAACACTTCCTGATGGACCTGCCACTCACCTTATAAAATTTCAGCCTGAGGTAGCATTGTACCACCTATTGGCCGCTACATTTATTGTTAGTTTTTTAATTTGTTCATGTTTGTTGAAATTTATAAGCATGTATTGTTAACTTTTTAATTTAATAAAATATATTTTTTATATGTATACCTTTGATTTCATATCCCTAATATATTTAGGCTAAATACTAACAAATATAAATGACTAAATTCAAAATCATTAATTAACAGATAAAACAAATTTTAACATTTACAAATAATATGTTAAATAATAACATAAAACATTTGATAACTAAAATAAAAAGATGTCTTGGAAATCGAATAGTATTTTATAAAACAATTAAAGTATAATATTAAACATACACAAGATTTCTTAAACTATACTGTTCTTAACTGTTAACAAACAAATTTTAATATTTACAATTAATATTTTTAAAAATAAAATGTAAGATTTAATAACTAAGATACAAAAATGTCTTGGAAATATAGAATACTGCTTTATTAAATAATGAAATATAATACAAAACATAGGTTTATTAACTGTTAACAATCACATTTTAACAGTTACAAATAACGTTTAATAGTAAAAGTTCACATTTGATAACTATGATACAAATGTTGTATTGAACAATTAAAATATAACGTTAAAATATATATTTGTTAACATTTAACATATTTGATTTATGTTAATAAATCTATTTTAATTTTAAACCAGTAAATAAGTTTAATATTAATATATCAGGTTTATTTTTAACTGATGAGCTTTTAACTTATGACGTGGTTATAGTGAATTTACGTAAGTTCGGTCATATCCAAACCTAACATATGTTAAATATTAATAAGGTTTCTTAACATTAAACAAACGTTTCTCTCAGTGATAACTACAGGGGATCAGATTCAAAAACCATTTTCGTGAAATTTCTAAAAAAAAGTCCTCAACTTACATTTTTAGGTTAAAAGCGGGATATTTTCATACTTTAGCACTACGCCTGTCGCATTAACCCCTAAAATATTGGGTCTAGTCTATTCACCGGGACATTTACTAGTTTATCCGGGATGACCAGAGTCAGACATTCCAAAACGGGGATACCGATATACCGTGACGAATAGAAACTGGCAACCCTAATCTAATAGCTTTTATTAGTGCTGCTAGCTCCTCAAGTATACCGTATTATTTTCATTGTTTCAAATTATTTTTTACTATTTTTTTTCATTTGACTTCATAAACATTCTCTATTGTGCTTTAAAGGCCATTCGCACTGCTTCAGAATAAATTTCCCCTTAGTAAAGTGAAACTTATTATTTAAGTATTACTTATCGTAGTTTAATTCGCACCAGCCGATTAAAAAGCAACAATTAATTAAGTGTTAAATTGATTTGGCAACGTCAAGATTTTTCTAAAAAAAGAAGAATTGTCAAATTTGAATTTTATTTTGAATGTTGAATAAAAGCTGCTTTTAATGAGTGCATCTGATTCTTGCTGCGATTGGGGTAGAAGGATCAGCTTACACTGAGAAAATTGGCCTTATACAAGTATCTACCTAAGATTTTTGACTTGTCAATATTTAATATCTAACAATAGCAAGTTTTTAAAAAACCTGCCATTATTTTATTGATCTTTCTGTGACTATTATATTACCCTTATTATAAATAAACATGTATCTTTAGTTGACAATTATTTAGCAGTTATTCAATAATTTGCTAATAATTCAGGAATAACCGTTAGTCATTGACTAAAAATAATTTTAAAACAAACTTGCAGTTATCTTTTAAATTTTAATACCGCCATCCACTGTATTTTTATGTATGAAAGAGTAATAAAACAGCATTTCTAATGCAAAACTTAGCACGGTCCTTTTTAAGTGATGGCGTCATCACCCTGTATATTCGATTATTTTAAAAACCACTAAATTAAAATCAAAAATCGACCTGTTTAAGGAATTTGTAATAGTATTATTTATTCAGCTAATAATGTATTTATGCGATATTTTCTGAACGCACTGTATTTTCAACAACCTATGTTATTAGTATTTGATGTCATTGGTGATAGTTTCTTAAAAGTCTATATAATTTTTAAATATTTAATAATGAAATTATAGAGAGTACATAAAAAGATTACTACAAAAAGTATGTTTGTTTTCGACTAACTTGCATTTTATTGAGCTTTGGCTTGCGTGGTATCTGTTGCAGATTGTTGAGCTAGAAAAAAGAAGCATTATTATATCCTGCTCAAACACTTAATTTGGATTTAAATACATAGTTTGATTCACAGATTATAAGAAACAAGCAAAGATCTATATCTGTCAGATATGAAAGTTTTCCAATACGTTTTGCGTATGTCAAAGTGAAAATGACGGAGAATTAGCATTCACGCGAGCAGAAAACGAATAATATCAGACAACAGCTTGGGGGATATATCTCGCGTAGTCCTGTTCACATTACACAGCGAACAAGGCAACGTTGATATTATTCGTTTTCTGCTTGTGCTTATGCTAACTCTCTGCAGTTTTAGTTTCGACGAAGGTAAACCATATTGGAAGATGTTCAGAAGCCGATAATGTATGACTTACTTTCTTCACGTTCTATTTTCTTCCTTTCAATTATCTTCGGGAATTCCAATTCGAATGGACTTTTATTATTTTCAACGATCCAGATTGAACCAGGTTGGGCATCTCCCAAAACTTCAACTAAACCTTTGGCGACGTTAACGGGATCTTGCAAATTGACGTCTTTCATTTCTTCTTCAAATTCTCCTACGAAATTATGATTGATGGCCTTTTCTTCCAATTGTTTCAAGGCGTTGGTGTCGGTTAAGCCTGGACAGAATCCGAAGATCTTTACTCCAGTTCTTTCGTAGAGTTTGCTTGATCCCAAGGCTCTGGTAAAACCTGATAATCATATTAAAATTTGTTTTTTGTTATGACAGCCTATTTGTAACCTTTTATATCGGAAATAGGGTATAATTTTGACTGGCAGGAATATTAGGTACTTACCGGCAATACCGAATTGGGTTAGCGTATGTATGGGAAATCCACAAGCTGGTGTTATACTCATTGACGAACCTATATTTACGATAATCCCTCCTTCACCTGAGCTGGTTTTGGCCATGTATTGCATTCCCAAGAGGGTTCCTATAACTGAACCTCGAATATTCGTATCCAGTTGGTTCTCCCAGTTAGTGTCGTCTAAAACACCTGCATTGTTTACAATGATGTCGATCCCCTGGAAAATTAAAGATACAGATAAGTATCAAAGTGAAGATAACTTTTAATGAACATGCATTAAATATTCTCCTCAATGTAATAATGATCATATCAAGTGAAATGATCATGTTTACTCTCTCTAAGAGCGTCGTGACTAAAGCGGCTACGGGACCGTTAATTGTGAAGCTATATTATATCAATTCCAACCAATCTGACAGCTAGAACTTGCTGTGCTTGTCTATTCATACAGTTTAGTACAGTGTTCTGTGAATACCGCTTTGATAACAGAGAAACATGAACGTATGTGGATGCTAATTTTTTATTTCGTTGATAGAACAAATGCCAGTATAACACACTAGAGAAGTATGGATATAAAAATTTTTATCCAGCAACAAGGAGAGAAATGAGTAGTGCTGAAAGATTTTTAAAGTCTACCAGATACAGAACAAAAAATTTGGTCGAACATACGACAGTAATTAAAAAACCTTAATTAAACAAAAATTGTAGAAAATATGCCAAAACAATATATTTGCTGAATTCTTGGAACTATCCAAAGTCGTCTATGTGCATCCATTGAAGTATCGCCATATTGCGATTATTCACATTGAATTTAAAATCGCAAGACTTGCTATGATTTATTGAAGAGGTGACGGTCCCACAGCCGCTGCGGTCGGGGGCATAAACCGCTACGTGAATACTTAAGCCTTCTAAGGAACTAACTACGATATGGACAGCATATCTACCCGTACGTCATACCTAATATGAATAAGAAAAAATGTAATCAATACAATGTCTTGATATTGTGACCATTTCTTCTTTCTTGTTTGTAGCTGACCATTCGTGTCCTTGAATTATGCTCTTACTGTAACACTCTCTTTCCCAATATATTGAACTGCACCTCATGTCCTCCATTTTTTTACAGTTTACCATTTTATCAAACAACTTAAGCTGACAACCTTTCAACAGGACATATAGTTTGGGTCGAAATCAGTTACGGTGAAACTGTTGCCATGGGAACGCTTGACATAGTAACGACTAAACAAAAAACCAAATCCTGTGGTGAGGAAATGCATGGCTGCCAAGTTGCAGATGATTTAATTTAGCTGTAATTAGTTACGGAGAAACTGTTGCCATAGAGGCATGGTAACGACTAAACATGACCCGAAACCCGTAATAAGGAAATGCATAGTTGGTAAGTTAGAGAGAGAGAGAGAGAGAGAGAGAGAGAGAGAGAGAGAGAGAGAGAGAGAGAGAGATCATTTAATTTTCACTTGAGTTTAGCTGAAACCGGTACGGAGAACTCGGTGTTAAAAGAACACTTTTCGTGATGTCGACTAAACAAAAACCTAAATCCGTGGTGAGAAAATGCGCAGTTGCCTCTTATATTTATTTTAACTCTTAACATATGTTACAATTTTGAACTAAAGTAAAAATGAAACCATCTATGACTTGGCAATTAAGCATTTTCTCACTAAGGGATTGGATTAGTCGTTAGCATGACAAGAGTTTCCATGGCAACATTTTCTATACAAGATTACGCTACGCTCCTCCCACCCACCTCCTAACAAGTACAAAGGAGAGCGAGCGAAGCGAGCGCGCCCGGCCGAAGTTTCGAAATACGCACGCGCGAATTTCGAAACGCTGGCCAGGCGCGCCTTTTTTCCACCTGCATCATAAGATGATGCTACGCTCCTCCCCCCACCTCTTAACCACTACAGACGAAAACGAGCGAAGCGAGAGCGGCCGGCCAACGTTTCGAAATTCGCGCTCACGATTTTCGAAACGTTGGTCGGGCGCGCCCTTTTTCCAACTATATCATAAGATCACGCCACGCTCGCTTTACCCACCTTCCAACCACTACTTGGCAACTACACATTTCCTCACCAGGAGATTTGGGTTTTTGTTTAGTCGTTGACATGACAAGTGTTTCCATGGCAACATTTTCTCCATAACTGATTTCGGCTAAACTAAAGTGAAATTAAATGATATATAACTTGGCAACTACGCATTTCGTCACTGCTGGATTTGGGTTTTTGTTTAGTCGTTGACATGACAAGCGTTTCCATGGCAATAGTTTCTTCATAACTTATTTTGACTAAACTAAAATGAACATTAAATGATCTAAACTTTGGAAACTACGCATTTCCTCACTACGAGATTTCGGTTTTTGTTTAGTCGTTGACATGACAAGCGTTTCCATGGCAACAGTTTTTCCATAACTGATTTCGGCCAAACTAAAGTGAACTTTAAATGATCTATAACTTGGCAACTATGTATTTTCCCGCCACAAGATTTGGGTTTTTGTTTAGTCGTTGACATGACAAGCGTTTCCATGGCAACAGTTTTTCCATAACGATTTCGGCCAAACTAAAGTGAACTTTAAATGATCTATAACTTGGCAACTATGTATTTTCCCACCACAAGATTTGGGTTTTTGTTTAGTCGGTAACATGACAAACGTGCCCATTTTTTGCATAACTGATTTCAGCTAAATAAAATTAAACAAAAACCGCAATCATCTACAACTTGGCAACTACGCATTTTCTCACAATGAGATTAGGATTTTTGTTTACTGATAGCCATCAAAATTTTTATCATGATAATAGTTTTTGCATAACAGATTTCGGCTAAACGAAAGTTGAGCCCTATAGTTTCTCAATAATTTTATTCTGCATTGTAAGTTATCCTAATGTATCTAACTAGTTTTAGCTTTTGTAGGCAATAACTTATATGGCCGGATTTTCCAATCCCAACTTTCCTTCAACAAATACCCTAATACTGTCCCTGCTTTCTGGTTAAAGGAGTGTAACCTATAGTTAAGTCTAGACCAACCTCAAAATTAAAGATGTCCTTACCGAAGTTATTTCATCGACATCTTTAAGTACAGCTTTAATCTCAACTCCTTTAACCTCGTTTCTTGTCACTTCTGCTAAATCCACATCTGGAGCGCATGTCTTGTTACTAAATTAATTGATATACATTACCTCAAAGTCAACTGATGTATTTCGAAGAATATTATCCATTTGTTCAGCATCAGCAACATCAACTTCACTAGAAATCACCCTATCTTCACCAAACTCTTGCTTTAGAGTCCTCGTACTGGTCAGCAATTTTCGTTTGTCTATATCTAAAATATTAACGGCCAATAATCCATTTTTGAGGAACTCTTTGGCTATAGCGAATCCTATTCCTGAGGCACCTCCTGTTACAACTGCCACTTTGTCATCCAAAGTGAATTTTTGAGGAGCGCTTTGTTCAATGCTGGTAGCTTCGAGATTTCTCGTCAGAGCTTTGGTGAGGATAGGAGAATTAATTTTAAGAAACGGTTTTAGTTTTAGCAAAGCCATTGGAAAATTTAACGCTACTACAATTTAAATTCGATGTCAATGTGACAGTATTGATGATTTCGACTTTTGTCTGAGATTAGTACCTAACACTTACTAGGTAAACTTAGTGCTGATTTTGTGGATAAATAAAAGTGGATTGTTGACCTAGAGCTATAGGTACTCTAAGAAAATTTGAGTTCAAAGAATTTTGACTATGTATTGAATACGCTCACTTCTCAATATGAGATAAATTAGATCAATCATAAAACGTGCTATCGCCGAATGTTGTTTATCTATTCTGTGGTGCTATCTACCCATCGATGAACAACTACTAGACCAATTTTGTTTACAAATTCGAATTGCAAATGTATAGGAAAGATGTACACCGTACATTGATTTAACATTATTCTTTTGACTGTATTGGACCGTTAAACGTTGCTGGGTTTCCTTCATTGATGTGAAATAAAAAATCTGATGTGTCCAATACATGACTTTCCTATCTAGTTATTACAGGCTTTTTCCGGTTATTTTGTACAACCTATTGTAGAATATCTGTAAATGTTTAGAGGATAAAATAAATATATACATTTTCCCCACACTTCTATATATACAGGGTGTTTTTTAAACATGCGGAAAAAATTCAAGGGGTCGTTCTTTTGACCATTCTAAGAATATTTTGTTCTTTGATGATTTTTAAAATTCCGTTTCGTTTAGGAGGTAGGTTTTCCAACAGGTTCTTTTCCCAATGCCGGACAATTGGCTGGTTGTATCACAACCGGTCAGAGAATGAAAAGCAGGCACATTTTTTAGAAGGTTTTCATCCAAATTTAAATAATGTACTGCTAGAAATCGTTTTGAGTCTCCTCGCCCTATTCTGAACCATATATCTTTAGTCAAAAACTTCTTAAAATAAATTAATAAGACTAGAACATCTGTATCGTTGCAATAAATAATGCAGCGTGAATGCCCCGAATTTTTAGCTGATAATATGTGCAATAAGATACGATTATCAGCGTCTTCGTGATTTGAATTTAAAAAATCGTCTTTTGATGGTTCAAAATTCTTCCCATATTTATTGATTTTCGCGAATCCACCCTAGCTACAAATTGAATATGCTTTTGCTGAATGGAGTTTTGAAGAAATTGCTCTGGCAGAAAATTTGCTAAATGTCTTTTGTTAAATATCGAATGAATAAACAAGTTCTATTGTTGCGGAAGTGGAATAGTGGGTCGGTTAATTTCTATATCAATTGATTTCTGGGATCCTCTCTTGTGACGTGTTGTATTTTTGATAGAATGTCCTTTATAATGATCAAATACCACATCTATCATTTAAGCATTAAATTTATTTCTAAAAATAATGTTTACAAATGTATGAGCATATTCTTTAAATGATATGCAACTTTTGGGCTTCCCTATTTTGATATAATTTTTGTCTTTGCTACTTGCAACAACAAATCCGTAATTAAAATTTTAAACGAAAACTTATAACTTACCCAAATATATTCAGCTGGAACAGGATGAATGTAGGTATAATAAAGATGCAAAAATGTCTATATTTCTTCCCAATTTATTAGGTAATTTAATATATAACACAAACAATTATTAATTCTTTAGTAAAAACAGATAACAATATGACACATTGCCCAATGGAACATAACGGGAAGTTTTATAATTAAAAAATTAAAAAATCCTACCATATCAATAATGTGATACATCGGTCGGCACGTAAAGAGAAACAGAGCTATGCTACGTTTGAAGGTGAAGAGAAAGATACACTGAGAGTCGATAAAATTGGCGATGAGAATTGATTACAGCATAAACCTATGACATCTCTCATCGTTTATTGTTATATCTTTGTTAATTCAAAAGCAAAAAATATGGTTTTTACTCTATTACCTTGTCAACACATAAGCAAAAATTTTATAAATTTTTTTTTTCATTTAGGCCTTCGTTTTTTGGCAAATGAGTGGTATATTTAAAAAAGACGACTTTTTAACTAAATTTTTGAAGGGCTAAAACCAAGATATTTACGTTTATATTTTTTTTCGGCCGTAAGGGCTAATGCAAATGATTTGTTTTATATAAGTATAAACAATTACTCCCTACAAAGATTTTATTGTGCATTTTACCAAAACATGAGTATTTTTTCTCTATTCGGTGGTATCAATATCTGGATTTTTGATGATAGTGCTCTTCTGTACAGTCTAACTTTGGAATAAGGGCTACCTTATCATGACCTTTCATCTGTGAAAAATTCAGCTTGTGACAAAAGAGTGGGAGATAAATCGTTTTCTTGGGCGAATATTTTAATACATACACTTTACTAATATGACAACAGCGGATATTATACCCTACTGTATCCCTTGGAATATGTATTCAGGGTCGCACGATATTTGTTAGTAGTTACATCTCCTGGTTATCTCTGGAATAGTCCAAGGAACAACCTTTTGAATTTTTGCCGCACACCCTGTATATATATTCTTTGCTAGAGAAAATACTGAAAAATTCAAATTTTATACTTTTTCTCCAATTTTTTAGTTTAACTTTTTTCTTAAAAATTAGAAATTTTGCACATTTTGCCAAATTTCACGGTTCCGGACCATTTTAGAAAAATTTTGTATGAATTAAAAATTATAAAGAAGAATTTTCTTTTCCAAACGTAAATAACAGATATATTTCATAATATATAAGAACGACCCCCTCACAGAAAAGAAGGTGTATACAAGATGTATACAAGATGTATGGTCTTATTTGAATGCTTTTTTGTGTTTGTATATTCGCAAGTAAAACTCGTCTCGATTTGAAATTGTAGTAATACTTGTTCAACAATAGCTAATAAGCCTTGTTTTAGATTAAAATCAACTTGCCATAACTAAAATACCTCTAATTAAATAAAGAGTATCTCTTGCTTAATTGCAGTATTATGTACATCTTAAATGAAATATTCTTACACTTTTTTTAAATATACTTTATTTATTTTCAATAATACCTTGTTCTTAAATCTAATACAACCAAATTTGTTACAATAATAATATGAACTGTTCTAAGAAATGTTATTATTGGCTTTGACATAAATATATTGATTTTGGCTAAAGTATGCGAGATGTGTAACTCAATGTATTTTTTTGTTCGATAAAAGTTCCAGTCTATGATGGCGCCACTAGAAAATAGCGGGAAAATTAAAAATGCTTTAGGGCGGGTAATTCAAACATGGATTCAGAAATAAATAGTTTTTCTATACAAATTTACAGGAGAAACAAAAACTATTGTTTCACTGTATATTAAAAAATATAAAAGCGTCCAATAACATCAAATTTTTTATCATATAAATAATCATTTTAATAAAGGAAGTTTTAATCAGTTTAATATAAGCAGTGAACATAGTTTTTATTACTCTTGTAAATTTCGGTAAAAAAAACTTGAAAATTCTATTGATTATTAAATATTTAATCTTGAAAAAATAATACACCAAACTCTTTTTCTATAAATTATATTTTTGTAAGGTACAGAAAAACAAACTACAAATGCTACTTTTAGAAAGTACCTCGTATCATTTTGTGACAAATTACAAAGAAAGTAACAGTTGTTATATATTCATAATATATTTAAAAACTAATGTAACAAATATTTTTGCTAGACTATCATTAGTGCCATTTAATCAAATGTCGTTTGCGTTTGTCTGGCAAAAAGGTATCGATCTGTTAAGGCTGCTTATTTTAATAGAAATCATGGAAACGAAACAAACACACACATATACTTACACAAATGTATAAGGCCCGAGTCGAGTAAGTTTCCATCCTGTAAACTAGACCCATTCCGTACAGGCCCTGCTAACGCCTCTTAGGGTCATCAAGATCAATAGATTTATATGCCATGCCTCCTAAAATGGAATGAAGGATGACATACTATCATCATTTAAACAGGACATTGCTGAAGGCTTACCCCTGTTTAACAGTCTCCCCAGTCATGTAAATGTTTTCCTAGTCTCCTAATTTGGTTACTAGGTGGACCTTCTTCAACTAGTCGTCTAATCTATTCGATCTCTTCTGCAGCAGGAGGCACTTTTCAAATATAGCAAATAATAATAATAATAATAATAATAATAATAATAATAATAAAAATAAACACTATTTAAAGATGAATACATTTTTGTAAATTTTTTTGTCATTGTCCCTTACCTGCCTCTTACACCACCAGGGTATGTCTATTTTCCATATTCCCTTAATTATAGACTACCTTACAATGTTTGAATGAATATAACATTTTACCCATGAAAAATCTAATTTCGAATTTAACTCTTTTTCAATTTCATTTGAAACAATTGGTATATTACAATTTATTATCAAGGACATCTTCTAATAAAGTTATAGCAAATCCTACTTAAACTACTGGTTGTTCTGCAGGATAAATTAACTTTTCTTGAGATTGATCTCTCTAAAATCCAAAACCGACCTGATGTCCCCAAATTTATTTTCCAATGCATCCTGATTTAAAATTCTGCCCTTTTGTGATTCAATTTTTATAAAAGTGTAAGATGACACTCGATATCTGTTGATGTTATTGTTTAAACAACGAATAATTAATTAAGCCAGACAAAATGCATTTTTTGCAATGAATTAATTTTTTTTATATTCTTTAGAATATTTCAAATAAAAAAAGTCCTTGCGCTCATCATCGTATCTTTAACCTTTTAATTGTTATGAATGTTTTAAAATCCGAAATTGACGAAAATTCTAATTTTCTTGAATTAAATAATATACCTTAAAATTTAAAATGCTATAATTTTAAATTTTTTGCCGAATATTAAAACTATAATAAACAAAATAACCTAAATAAATTTTCAAAATTTTGTTTGTTGTTATGTTTTTTTTTACGTTATAACAATATGCTTCCTACGCGCGTGTACTTTTAGAGAGAAGTACTTCCTCAGATAAACAAATGAATAATAGATGCCTAACGGTCTGGATTTGTTTGAATCCAGTATGAACCGTTTTATCTATTACTTTCTCTTTCTCCATGGTCTTCGATGTGATTCGTCTATTTTAAATAGCAGCGCCAAAATTTTCTCACAACTGTCAACAAGCAGTTGGGAATTGTCAATTTTGATTTTAAAATTTCTGTGTTATTAGAGAGTTATTGCAAGTTCACTTAAGGTCAGTCACTATTAGTGCCGCTC